TGTATGTATGTATGTATGTATGTATGTATGTATGTGTGTGTGTATGTGAACCTCAAACGCTTATCTACCCAAACACAAACCAAAGCCACATATGCAGAAAACAACAAGTACAAGTCATTTATGCAATGTGGGGGTCTCTAGCCAATAGATTGTGTACCTCATGCAATTATATTAGTACCTTCTATACATATACTTTTGATCAGAAGGCGTGCATACATTTACATATACATATATATATATATATATATATATGAAGTGAAAGGAGATATATAGATATGTAATTAAGAATTGAAATGAAGACCTTGTCAGAATGGGTGGTGTGAATGTTATGAGGTATAAGTTGTTGTAACTTGGAGACGAGACCTGCAATCTGATCATCGCTAATCCTCGATACTCGGGGTTGCCGTGAACGCGATCTTCTGCTGGACATTGTCAGAGAGGGACAATTGAGATGGTAGGAAGGTTTCTTTCTTTTCTTTTCTTTTCTTTTCTTTTTTGTCAGAGAACTTAACTTGTACAAATGATCAGAAATATATGATTGATGGCACAACTATACATATATATACACACACCTGTATATATATATGTGTGTGTGTGTGTATATATATATATATATAGAGAGAGAGAGAGAGAGAGAATGGTTATAAGTAAGAAGGTTGAGAGAAGTTATGGAGAAAGAGATAAGGGAGAGAAAGAAGAAGAATAAGTAAAACAGTTGGAGGTTGAAGACAAAGAGTGCATGGGAGAAAGGGGTGGGCTTTTGCTTCTTTTTAAATTGGGGGGTGGGGTAGGGTGGGGTGGGGGTAAGGCTGCTTCTACTTATATATGTTAAGGGTTTTCCAATGTTTCTATGTTTGATTTTCCGAGGGGTTCTGTTTATCAAACACTTACCTAATAAGTGTTTATCGGTAAAGTTTAACATTATCATTTACTTACCGTGTAAGATTTTAGTTCATCAAAACGTTATCGTATACAACAATTTATCCGGTAAGCGTTTATTATGGTAAGAGTCGTCGCCCTCACTTGCCGGATAAGACTTTTGGTCCTTGTCTCGCTCTTACCGGGTAAGAATCATGATCTTTACCATATTCATCGAGTAAGATAATGTGACTTGGTGTTCACTTACCCGAGTAAGCCTTTGGTAAACGGCTCCTTAGACTTTTATGATACTACGCATTAGGGGTGATCAAAAACTCAATCAATCCGATCAAACCAATTCAATCCAACATAAAATAACTCAATTCGAAGCAATTCGATGTCTAATCGAGTTATAAAATCTTTAAATTGTAGGTATTGGATTGATATTGGGTTATTATTATTTGAACTCAACTCAACTCGATGAACCGGATATCTTTAAATTTATTGGATTTAATATGATTGTTGAGTTTATATTAATATGTGCATTGACAATTACACTATCATGTATACTCTTCATATACACATATTTTCTATCAATTCTCCATCTCTATATAACTCATTCGTATATAATATATATGTTCAGTAACTGTGAACATATATATGTAAATTGAGAAAATTAATTGAATGTGATATACGTAAGATTTAATAAATATGGATAAGTTGTATCAAATGGTTGATGATAAGAAATAAATTATGAATAGATAAATAACATATTGAAATACATATTCAAGGTTAAGAGAATATATTAATGTACCACAAAGTATCAACCCAACCAACCCGTACATACAGTTTGGTTTGGGTTGGATTGAGTTAAGATTTTTCAAACCATAAGCATTAAGTTGGGTGATTCAAATGTCTTCAACTCGATCAATCTAACTCATGAGCACTCTTGCTACACATATCGACATTAAACAAAAGTTTTTATAATTTAAACGACATTTTATTTAAAAATTGTTTAAAAGATTGAATGATCGAGATAGTTAAGTATATTTAATAATAATGTATTTCATATCAATTTTGAGATTTTATGGATCAAAACTGGTAGCTATATTAAACTTTTGTTTAAAATCATGTATTAACTGTAATAAAATTAGGTTTATAAAATGATTAAAATATGTAAGTGTCTTAATAACATATGTTATGTATATAAGACCAAATTATAAAATTTCTATATAAAAGTGTTATGACAGAGGTCAAAAGTACCAGTAGGTCTCAGGTTCAAATCCAAGTAAAAATAAAAATCCTCTTGTAGCCACAGAGATTCAAATGCGGTGACTCTGGGCTATCTGCAAAACAGGTGGTCGTCCTGGGATTAGTCAGCGCATAACGGGTTGGATATACAGGTTAATAAAAAAAACAAGTTTTTTAGAACACTTTAACATAAAGTGTCAAATTAGTTATTTTATAGAACATTTTAAGGATGTCCTTCAAACCCATATTTTTTATAGAACAATTGTGTTTATAATACACTTAATTTTAAAAACGTCTTATAAAACTTGTTAAAAACACTTGAAAACGTCTTATAAACCTAACATATGACGTTTTATAGTTTTGTTCTATAACGATGTTATTAGGACGTTTAACCATTTTAAGCGTCCTATAAACCCAATTTTACCGTAGTGAACTCTTTTAATAATAAAAGAAAAATAGAACTGAGAATACTCCGAGTCAAAGGACCTACACAATAACTCTATGTCGAAGACTTTTCGGATATCGAAAAGTTTTATCTAAAAGTATTTTCCATTAAAAAAAAACTTGTCAATAAACCAACATGAATCAATAGGTCGATCCCGATATGTTCCAATTTCCAAAGACTCGACTATAACGACTAGTCATTGATCTGATAACGAACGATCCAGAAAGAAACATGACACAATCATCCTATGTTCGATATCGAAAACCAACCTTTTCATGACAAATGACCATGTGAAAAGATCAGAACTCTTGATCACCTTTAAACCCATACCCACCCACGAATTACGGTTTAGAAGGAAATTGATCTTATACATCTTATTAGTGTTGATATTCAATTAAGATTGATCTGAAGATCAAGATCTCTTCTTATACTTCTCACCATAACTTCCCTTCTCACAAGAACCCAACCCTATGGGTTGTATTTTCAGATATGCCATACATTATGTCCCCAAAATAGGGTTAGTGTTCAAGTGGGTTAGAGGAGGGAAATGTTTTGTTCTACCCAACCTATATGGGCCTCTTTGGTGTCAGTATTAGCATGCAACCCCATGTTCCCAACATTTATTATTCATCCATCTCATGTCAATTTAATATATATAACCATATCATAATACTGTTTTTTTAAGTGGACCCTTGTTTATTTATACCTTATAACTCTCTTTTTAATTTTGACATCTTACCATATTGATTCAAAAGTGAGCTTGTTGGGTTTGGCTTGCATTGCATCGCTTATTAAGACGTTCTCTGTGACGGGTCGATTTCGAAAACGATTTTCAAAACCAGTGATTACATGACATGTAACAGTAAGTATTGCGTGAGTTGACTGAATGGGATGGGATTCGAGAAATAAACATCGTGTTTTCTTCTACATCAAGAGGGGATGGAAACATTTTGGCCCGAGAAATGGGACCGTTATGTGTATATGAAGTGTAGGGTTTTTTGATGTTTAGCTGATACATTAAATCTTGTTTAAGTCGGCAGATGTTAAGTTGTGGGATTTTATGTATGGGTAATTGTCTGAATAATTTGTGTGGATAAATCAATCATTTTCGTTATAATTTGGACATGAATGTGTGTACATAAAATTAATACGTTAATCTGTTATGTCATTGCTATCTGTTTATACAAATGAAAATAATTTAACTTATAGAACAATTATTATGATCAACACTTTATATTAAAAAACAATCGAAGTATTTATTGAATCAGATATTCATTAGATTAGATAAACTGTTAAGATTGGTTTATATGGTTTATACTTGTTTTATAAACTAGAAGGGTACTCGCGAATGCAGCGAGATAATCTTTCATTTTAATGTTTCGTTTTATTTTTTTTTATCTCTGTTGATATAATACAGTTTATGTGCTTTTGAGAAAAATAATGTTAAAATGTAATAAAAACAAATTTGAAGATACCAGAAAATTTTAAAAAATATATATATATTGATATTAATATTAATTTAACTATCTAAAAATTCTCGTTTTTTTTTTTAATTCAATTTTTTATTATAATTTAATTTAGGTTTAACAGTAAAGTAATTTATTTTTGACTTAACAATATAATTTTTATAAAGATAATGATTTTGTTAGAACTTAATGATTTTCCTAATTATATTTTAGATTTTTTATATTTTAAAATAAGATGTTTATCCTCTATTTGATTATATTTATCCACAATTAGTTATACGAATTCAAAAAAAGAGCTTTAATACTTTGTATTTACGTATAATTTACTTGTAATCTTAAAGTTTAAGTAATATGCATTAATAATTCATGCATAAAGAATGATTTTTAAAAGTTTTTATCAAATGCTTTATAATATAGTATAGATAATTAAAAATCAGTCAAACGTAGGAATTATTTAATCCTCTTAAAATGGAAACATTAAAAAAAATTATGCTAAGATATATTTATTTCACTTAAAACAGTAAATATTTAATTTTTTAAATATAGAAGATATATTTTTTTCACTTAAAATGGAAATAATTAGTTTTTTTAATTAGTAGTAATAATTAATTATCACGTGCCAATGTCCTTGCCAACCCATATTAATGTACGTAATTCTTGACATTATTGCCCATTGAAAGAAAAATTACAAATAAAGGATATTTCTTGAAGAAAAAGAAATACCAATTTAAAAGCCATTTTTTATTATTATATTTATAATTCTACCCCCGAACTTGCTGTAAAATATCGTATAAGAATGAAAGTTAAGGTGAGAATGGTAAAAGAATTAATTTGGACCCTTGATCAACTCATGAATTGTGTTTTATGATGGAATTGATCTGATACTTCTTATTAGTGTTGATCTAGTGAAACTATTCAATTACGATTGATTTAATGATAGAGATATCTTATTACCATTCTTACTGTAACTTTTATTCTCAGTGCCGAAAGCCAACCATATGCTAATGAGTATATTCAACAATGAATATATAGTAAAGAAATAGTCACACGGTTCTCAAAATATTTGTGGATAAACCAAATTGTATATATATATACAGGGAGAGGTTCATTTCAAAAGTGGTAAATATTTGAGAAGTAAATAAGTGATCCTAGCCATTTATACGGTCAAGACCGGTCAAGAATTGCAGTTTGACTAGTTAAGCGAAAATTAGAGGGGCAGTTTCGTAACTTTACAAATAAGCAGCAAATAAGTGCATATATGAACCCGCAATTCATATGTGAGTCAGTTAATTAGTTCATATGTGAATCTATTAATTAATTCATATGTGAAACAGTTAATTAGTATATATATATATATATATATATATAGAGAGAGAGAGAGAGAGAGAGATGACGTTTCAAATGCAACTCATCATATTTGTGCAACCCAATCAATTGAGATGTTTATGGAAATGAAGAGAGTTCATTTATTATGATTTGGATATTTATGAAAGATGATTACAGTTCATTAATTATGATCTATAGTTTATATTAGAAAACAATCAAAACTTTTATGAAATCACATATTTATCAAATTAAATGGACAATTGAGATTGAGTTGTATTGATTGTACAAATGTAAATGGTTGCATAATAACTCGCCTATATATATATATATATATAGAGAGAGAGAGAGAGAGAGTTAGGTTCCGGTGAAAAAAGAAGTTGTGGTGAAAA